TTTTTAAGACCTAAAAAGCCACGATGATCCTTCTGAAGACGTTTAACTAGTCTTCTTTGAAAAAAACCTTCATTCTTGAAAACTGTGACTTCTCGGCAGAAAACTTTTAAGAACCTTTTTCCACACGGCCATGAAACTTTCGGAAGGCCTTCTATCTCTCTTCCAAAAATATGTTAATTTTTGGAAGATCTTCTCTCCATAGGACAAAAATGTCTGTTAATGTTTTTTCTGAAATTACCTGTTAATCGCCCTTCACTTCCTACGAATTTTAGAATATCTTATCTCTCTCCGCACAAACTTCCGAAGGCACTCTCAGTTTTCAAAAAATCGTTTCCATATCTTCTTTCCACAGGAGCTTCCCATGGCGTTCTCTCTTGATCTCTCTCTAATTTCAAATGTTTTGGAAGATCTTCTCTACAGATTTCTTTTGGAAGACCTTCTCTTCAGATAACCTTCGTAATATCTTTCCTCTACAAGTCGCTTCAGACCGATGACCTTGGAAGGACTTTTTTCTAGGAGAACTTCAGAAGGCCTTCTATCACAAGGCCTCCAAGAGTTCTTCAACCTGAATTAAGGAATTATTAAGCCCAGAAGGCCAATAAAATACTCTGTCTGGATGCTATTTAAAATATGGTATTGTTCAACTTTTCTTTCCGAAAAGACCTTTTAAAACTGTTTAGTTATGGTCTTCCATGTAGATGATATATAAGAAAAGTTGAGTTTGAGGTTGTCTTTTGTGTAGAAAATCTTCAAAAGATTGTTTGCCCCGAAGAACCCTGAAATTGTCTCTACCCAGAAGCATTTCTGTTCCTTTTCTACAAGACATGCAGAATGCATCCTGCCCTGTAGATATTTAAAAGGTTTTTATAAGTCTTTTGTTTCGGATCATTTTCTTGATAAAAATAATAATCTTCGCCAATAACCGAGCTATTGCTTACTGGGAGGCAAACTTTCTTTCAAAATGTTAAAGTACATAGATCTGATCCATAATACCCTCAATAAAATGCAATACACCAGGTCAAGAGGCTGAAAATGAACCCCACACCAATACTGACCCCCCACCGTGCTTCACTGTAGACTTCATATTTTTGGCAAGGAGCGCTTCATTTGCCTTTTTCCATACATAAGGTCTGCCATCTAAACCAAAAAGGTGGAATTTGCTCTCGTCCGTGAACAGCACATTCTTCCAAAACGAAAAATCTTTTCATATATGTGCTCCTTGGCAAATCACAATCTTACTTCTTGATTTCGCTTACTGGGTAGAGGTTTATGTCTAGCTCTTCTTCCATTGTAATTCGACATATGCAGTATATGTCTTATTGTTTGAGAGCAACATACTTTTCCCAAATCCTTTTCAGCAATTTTTGCGAGCTTCGGTGCACTCAAAAATGAATCCTTTTTGATCTGCCGTAAAATATACTTCTCATCACTCAAGGTAAATATTTTATTATTTGCCTTTTTTAATTAATTTTCTACAAATCCATCTATTTTGAACCGTTTTATGATGTACTGAACTGTAGATCGGCTTTTTTATTTTTTTAATATTTACGTCAGTAAATTTCACAACACGTGGACATTGGTGGTAAATAAGTATTTAGGAACTTTCCCAAATACCTTTTCCAACAATTGCGTGAAGTTAGACGGAGTTCGAAACAAGGTTGCCATATAAATAATGTAGGCTGTACTAGTTTAGATTTTGAATAGAAATTTGGTGAGTTTTGGAATAAATGCCATTATTCTATTAAATAAATAAGCTTTTTTTTTCTATGGCTAGTTCTATTACCCTATACACTAATAAAAAATATAGTTTTCTTCTGGGAGTGAATTTGATAACAATCATATATTGCATGAAAGAAAATTGTTTGCTAAGTGTACGATTTTCGCTTGGCGCTCCTCTAAAAAGGTCTTAAGAGAATCGATCTAGTCTATATTTAGTTCAATACACCTGAAATAACTATGATCCATTTTCGAGCAACTCAAGCTTCGCGTAGCGATACATATTATTATCTGCGCGACAACACCTCTTTCACATTCCAAGTCTGCTTCTCTCTTATCAAGAAATTGTAAATTCCAATTCAAACAATATTTCATTCATTCATGCATGCCCAAAACACTAGTAGAGGGGAATTCCAAACATTCCATTTAATGATGATGATGATAGGTAAGGTGCCTACGTACCTATCTCTAAAAGTAAACTAGATGGCGGGGGAAAGGAGAGAGAGAGAGAGGAGGAGGCGCTCATTGCTAGACAACAAAAAACAACATTGCAATAAAATAGCATTATTTCAATTTGCTGCAATCGGAAACAAAAAAATTCCGCTTAGTGTCATTACTTTTCTCTACAAAGCCCCACATTTCATTGCGGCTGGTTATTGATTTTGTTAAATACACAAATTACGAAAATCCTTAAACGATAATACCCACCGAACTCGCTCTCTCTAACCCTACGTTACCTGCCAGCCAAAAGATCCACCAAAAAAATTGTTTGTGGTAATTATTTACTTCGTCATTGTCAAAGATCATGATGATTATGATGAACAGCAACAACAATAACAACTACAGCAACATTATGATCATCAACAGTTGTTGTTCACCGTCGTCGTAGTCGTCGTCATCATCATCATCGTCAACATTGTCGGTTAAATGTCTTTGATCTTATCGTAAAGCTTCTTGCTCGCATTTTGATCAAAGCGAGTTTTTCCGCCAAAGTGGTAGAGTAACAGAAAAGACAATAATAATAACAAATAACAAGAAAACAGCAACAACGCCAACAAAAACAACGACAATGAAGACGAAAACGACGACGACAAAAACGATTCACAACTCACAACAATAACAACCACTACCATCAGCAGCAGCAGCTCCATCCAGCACCAACCAATACTACCAATCACGTTGTTGTTGTTATTGTTGTTGCAACAACATGACGTTGTGGAATGAAGAGGAATAACCAGAAAACAAAGATACTCATCGCATGCCACATTCATAAACAAAAACAAGTCGTCATAGTACACATTTTTCTTTCATGTTAAATTTATTTTGACGAAAGAGAGAGAAAGAGAGCGAGAGAGTGGGATAGAGAACTGAACTGACCAATATAATTTATCTCCGAATGGCATAATGAAGTTTAAGAGAGCATATTGTAAGAGCAGTCAGATACGTAGTATTAAAGAGTTAATCCAGATTTTAACAGACTTTGTCGAGATAGTATATCGTAAAAAAGATGGGCAAAATAATGAAAGAGATATTTTAAGAGAATTTTGAATTAACTTTCCTGTGTTGAATTTTAACTCATTTAAAAATTTCTAAAATATTACCAACATAAGCTCAAAACTTATTTTATAAACACAATTATAGAATATTATTCGTATATGTCTGTTTATTAATGTAAAGTATGACAGAGAATAAGAGACATCAACGCTAGCTTGCATATTTGCCCATCTACGATCTTAAACCAATTTTCGCCCAGGCTGAACTCATTTCAGCATCCATCTTGAGGATAACTTACAGTAGCTCCAAGCGAATCTCTTACACTTAGCAAACAATCTTCTTTCATGAAATATATATGTTTAAAATTCACTACCAGAAGAAAATTTTACTTTTTTTATTTATTTAACAAAATAATGGCATTTATTCTAAAACTCACCAAGTTCTATGCAAAAGCTGAACTCGTACAGCTTACATTTATACGGCAACCCTGTTTCGAAATGTGTCCAACTTTACACGATTGTTGGAAAATGTATTTGGAGTAGTACATAAGAGCTAATTTAGCACAAATTTCCACAAGTTGTGTTATTTACTAACGTAAATATTAAAAAAATAAAAAATTGGAAGGCAACGAGGACAAACCGCTGTTGAAGTGAAAAACCATAAATCTAAGCTAAGTGAGATATTTGAGATTGTTAATAGAAGCCGTTCTAAAGTTCAGTACATCATAAAACTGTTCAAAACAGATGGATGTGTAGAAAATAAGTCCAAAACGGCAAATAATAAAATATTTACCTTAAGTGTTGACGAGTATATTTTACGTCAGATCAAAATGGATCCATTTTTGAGTGCATCGAAACTCGCAAAAATTGCTGAAAAGGATTTGAGAAAAGTATGTTGCCCTCAAGCAATAAGAAATATAAATATATATAACTAGACATTCCTCTAATCAGTAAGCGAAATCAAGAAGTAAGATTGCGATTTGCCAAAGAGCACATATATGAAAAGATTTTTCATTTTGGAAGAATGTGCTGTTCCCGGACGAGAGCAACTTTAACCTTTTTGGTTTAGATGGCAGACCATATGCATGGAAAAAGGCAAATGAAGCGCTCCTTGCCAAAAATATGCCTACAGTGAAGTACGGTGGTGGGTCAGTAATGTTGTGGGGTTCATTTTGAGCCTCTGGACCAGGTGCATACCCTCATATTTTATTGAGGGTATTATGGATCCAATTCCGAAATTTCTTAATTTCTCTATTTCATTTGAATTAAATTCGAGCCTCGTTTGCTCGTTTTTAAGTGAGAGTAAAATCCTCACCAAAATCGAACATATTCTACTCTGAGTACTCTTTTAGTTTTTGTCGTTCCGTCGTTGTGTTTGAAGTGAAGTGCCTAAATGTATACTATAATAATGCAAAATGTGGAAATGAGTGCGACAACCAATATTTAAAAAAAAACTTGGATTGAAAAATTAAACCATTTTTCTAAGTATCTTCCTAAAACCCCTATCCAAATGGCCAACTTTTCTCTAACCGTTGAAATATAAAAATTTTAAAAATAAATAAAAGAACGTATACTTTAAAGCTTCCTAAATGCATTTACTCATTTTGTTTTTGATTACCTTTAGCAAAATTTGTTATTTTCTGTTTGTTTTTAAATTCCCAGTTTCCACTATACTGCAAGGCTATTATATCGAAACATTTTGTTTGGGGTTGCTACCAAACACGACGACACTGTTAAATTTACCAAGAAAAATCATGTCTCACCCTGTATTTTTCTTTCCTTTCATTGCAGACACCAATCACAGCCAGCAACAAAAACAACCCATCATCATTAGCAGAGACCAAAACCTACACGAATAGCCAAACAACACACCACCCCACATCCTCTTCACAAACAACGCCACAAATCATCATTCCAACAATGCCTAAATGTCTGTGCCATCGATACAATCCACACAGGGTGGCCATGTGTCACAGGGTGCTACAACTAACTCAACTCCTCATGCTATTCACACTTGCCATCGTCTGCAGTGGGAACTGTTTAGTCAAAGCTGCCCCCTCACACCAAAGTCATTTGCGCAGTCGACATGCAGCCCTTGTCTCGCCGCTGTTGCTCCACAATCCGTCGTTGGCGAATTCTCTAAATGCCTCGAGTGGAGACCAACCGAGTACTTTTTTGGAAAATAATTCTGTGCATGGCCACAATAGTCATGCGACGCATGCCCATGGTGAACATGGTGGTGGGGGAGTGAGGGCCTTGAAGCGGGCCCTGCTTTCGAATCGCAGCATTGTCTGCAACGATGGTACGGCAATGAGTTTCTATTTGCGCAAGAATCCCAACTCCAAGAAATGGATTGTCTTTCTAGAAGGCGGTTGGCATTGCTATGATGTGAGAACGTGTCGGGCACGGTGGAATCGTCTGAGGCATCTGATGACCTCCACCGATTGGCCAGAGACGAGAGATGGTAAGTGTTGAAAATTTTGTGAATGAGGGAGAAATTCAATTAACATATTCTTTTTTTTTTTCCAGTTGGAGGCATTTTATCGCCGCTGCCTGAGGAAAATCCCTATTGGCACAGTGCCAATCATGTTTTGGTGCCCTACTGCAGCAGTGATTCGTGGTCTGGCACCAACTCGACACTCGACCATTCTTCGGAGTTTCCTTTCCGTTTTATGGGAGCTTTGATACTAAAACAAGTCATTGCCGATCTAATACCCATGGGTTTGGGTCGTGTACCAGGTGCTGAACTGCTGCTGGTGGGTTCCTCCGCCGGTGGTTTGGGTGTGATGTTAAATTTGGATCGTATTGCCCATTATTTGCAAGTGGAACGTAAGCTACAAGTGACGGTGAGAGGTGTTAGCGATTCGGGTTGGTTTTTGGATCGTGAGCCCTATACACCTTCGGCTGTGGCGTCCAGTGAGGCTGTGCGCCAGGGTTGGTCGCTGTGGAAGGGTTTACTGCCCGAGGCCTGTGTGGAACAGTACAAATCGGAACCATGGAGGTGTTATTTTGGCTATAGACTCTATCCCACCTTGAAAAGTAAGTTGGAAGTGATTTTTTGAAAATAAATGGACTATTAATAATTGTTTTCTCCCTCAATTCCAGCTCCCCTCTTTGTGTTCCAATGGCTTTTCGATGAGGCCCAAATGCGGGCGGATAATGTGGCGGCGCCTGTTACACCTCATCAATGGAATTATATTCATGCCATGGGTGGAGCATTGCGCTCCTCCTTGGATAATGTTACGGCAGTATTTGCCCCCTCCTGCATAGGCCATGCGGTGCTTTCCAAACGTGAATGGCTATCCTTGAAAATTGATGACATTTCTCTGCCCACAGCCCTTAGATGTTGGGAACATTCAACTCGGCCACGCAAGAAGCGTCATGATAAGCTGAAACGTTCTACAGAGGCCACCATCAATCACAAGGACTCCAAGAGGCGCCATGAGAAGCAACGTAACCATCAGAAGCAAAATGCCAACAATGTGGAGCGTAAACGTCTAACTAAAGCAGAGCGGGAAGAGCGCAAACGTTTGCGCCATGAACAACAGAAGAGGCGAGAAGAAAGACGCAATCGCCGTAAAAACAACATGGCCGATCAGGGCGCTGTGGATCATGAGAGCAATCTCACAAATGCCATACGACCGGGAGAGAATTCCACAGATATACAGAGGCAACAGCGGCGGGAACAAAAACGTAAACGCAACGAACAGGAGAAGTTGCGGAGAAAACACAAGAAACGCCAGAGGCGTCGAAAGGAACATAATACCACAGACACCTCATACCCGGAAAGAGAATTGCAAAAGGAACAACCGGTTATGGTGGTGGTGGAGAAACGGCGTAACAATACCTCGAAAATAAATCGTCGCAGTGGGGTGCCCCGGGTGCCAGAAAGGTGTTCCCTACGTCTCTTGGAACGTTGCAGTTGGCCACAATGCAATCATTCCTGTCCCACCCTAACCAATCCGGTGACGGGGGAGGAGATGCGATTTCTTGAACTACTGGCATCCTTTGGACTGGATATTGAGGCTGTGGCAACAGCTTTGGGTGTGGATATGCAAACCCTTAATAACATGGATCGAACGGAATTGGTGAATTTACTAACACAGCAGGTCAGCTGATCTGGTGGAAACAACTCCACTTGAGGGTGGTGTGGAACAAGCAATCCAAAGTAATTAAAGAAACCAACAAGCAACGAAAAAAAACAAACAAGAGATTAAACCAGAGATTTTCGCTTACCAAAAAGAAAACCGATGATAAGACGAGAAAATTCAAATGTCAGAATTACCTCAAGGAGCAAAACTAAAGAAAATACTCTCTTCAAAAAAAGAAAATGGTGCTGCCATTGCTGCTGGACAAACAAAGGTGTTGAATGCTGGCCAAAAATAAACAAAAGAAAAGCTTAAACGTAAATCTCTTCTATGTAACCAAAAGCTTCAAAACAAACAACAACAACAAAACAAATCCCCATAACTTATAACAACAACAAATCAAAGATATTGAATATTTTTTTTAATTTGTATATTTTTTGTAAATATTTGCCAATTTTGTGGCATGGCTATTTTTTAAGTTTCGTAAAAGTTCAAATTAATTTTTAGGAGTATTTCTAATTTAAGAGGGCGAGATGTTAGATGGATAAGACGCTAGTGGACTTAAGTTGTAAAATTGTAAATAATAGTTTAGTTTTAAGTATAAGAGCTTAGAGTGGATTGGAATTCGAAGCTATTGTTTTGGAGATGTCGGTGTTTAAAAATTAAGATGTTATGGAAAAAGAAAAAGAGAGAGAGAGAGAAATTGAGGAAGAAGAGCTTTTGATCCTAAGAAATAGTTTAAATAGACTTGCCTAATTTAAAACGGCTTTGATAAGTAATGGGAAAATCGCCAGATTTTCTAATAGACTTAGAAAAACAGACCCGCTCTAGGACTACAATCCTTAAAGGAAAATATTTTGAACATAGAAGATCTGTGAGAGGTATTTTGTCCTTCATATAACTGTAACAGATCTTCTATCTATAAAAGACCTGTGGAAGGTCTTCTATGTATAGAAGAACTGTGAATGGCCTTCTATCTATATAAGACCGTAAGGTCTTCTATATATAGAAGACCTTAGTAAGGTGTTGTATTTGTAAAATAACCGTGGGAGGACTTATATTTGTAGAAGACCTGTGGAAGATCTATCTGTAGAAAACCTGTGGAAGGTCATATATCTGTAAAAGACCTTTGGAAGTTCCTCTATCTATAGAAGACCTGTGGAAGGTCTCCTATCCATAGAAATTCTTTGGAAGGTATTATATCTGCAGAAGGCATGTCGAGGTCTTCTATCTATAGAAGAATTGTAGGAAGTATTCTATCTAAAGAATACCTTTTAAAGGTCTCCTGGAAGTTCTTCTCTATTTAGAAAACCATATATATGTAAAAGACCTGTGACAGGTCTTATATCTGTAGAAGATCTGCAGGAGCTTTTCTATTTGTTGTAGACCTTTAAAAATTCTTCTATTTGTGGAATACCTTTTGAAGTCGTCCTATCTATCTATATATCTTGGAAGACCTATTTATAGAAGACGTTTAGAAGGCTATAAAAAACCTGTGGAAGCTCATATATCTGTAAAAGACCTTTGGAAGGTCCTCCATCTATAGAAGACCTGTGGAATTTCTCCTATCCATAGAAACTCTGTGAAAGGTATTATATCTGCGGAATGCATGTGGAAGGTCTTCTGTCTATAGAAGACCTGTGGGAGGTCTTCTATCTATTTTTAGAAAACTTTATATCTGTAAAAGACCTGTGAAAGGTTTTATATCTGCAGAAGAACTGCGGAAGGTTTTATATTTGTAGCAGATCTTTGATAATTCTTCTATTTGTGTAAGAACTTTCGAAGGTCTCCTATCTATGGAAGACCTGTGCAAGATCTTCGATCTATAGCAGGCATTGGAAGACCGTCTATTTATAGAAAACCTTTAGAAAGTTTATCTGATTAATCTCAAAAGCTATGCTCTTCATGAAAAATTTCGATCCCGATCTTTAATCAATTTTTCGTCCAATATTTTCCCCCCTTTTGCTTCGAATTCCAATTGTAAAGTATTAATTATTTATGAAAAAACAACAACAACTAAAATTTCTTACCACAAAAAAGACATACAAAAAATGACATCCCAGTTAATGTTTTATTGCTAAGTTATTTTATTTAAAGTTAAGAAAGAGAGGGAGAGAGTGTGAAAACGTTTATGTTTTTATTGTTTTTTTTTTTTTTTTATTTTTTAAATACTTGTTTTATATTTTTATTTAAAAAAGGATGTGTTGTATGTACATTTAACATAGATATTTATAGCAAAATAGAACCAATACAACTGACACTGATCACTACTACACTAACAAGTGTTTATAACCCAATCCGACCATAACATGATTAACCTTCATCTGTTTCCTTCTAAACCAACCCCCCCCATCATTGTAATGCTGCTAACACAAATTGTATGCAACACATAAGACTGCTATTTGTTACACAATAATTTAATTAATTTATTTAATATATATATTTTTTATTAACTATATAATTTCAATTAAAAAACAACAAAAACAACAAATATGAAAAAATTAAAACAAACAAAAATTGGGTTTGACTTATTTTATATAAAATTGATGGTTCTTATATATAAGGGATAAAGGTGGGGGAAAAGGCATATCAACGAGGTGGCCAGGGTGGGAGCAGCCTCAGAGCACATCCCAAATAACTCCTTTTTCAATATTTTTTGCCCATTTCCCAGGTAGATGGAGCCCCGAAATGGTTTAGAACTGCATTTCTGGGTACGTTCCTAAAGGTTTTACAACATTTGCAGTTTGAGGATACATTTTTGGTACAGATCTTCTAAACGAAATCATTCGATTTTCTACCATATTGGAAAATTAGATGAAGTGTGATAATTCAGGGTGAGATGAAAAAACTGCAACAAAGTCAAACGCCATAATGTGTAAATTTTTCTTTAAATTTTATTGAATGAAAGCAAAAATGTCGGAAATAGCATCAAATTTTAGAATAAGTTTAGGTTTGTTCGAATTGGTCACCTTTGGCACGAATTATGCCCTTCAAACGGCCAATGAAACCGTCACACGCTGCCCGAATGTTACTCTGCAGTATTTTGGCCCATTCCAGGCGAATCGCTTGTGGTCGAACCTTTGGTATTTTTTAGAGCCAACCTTGCTTTACAAAATACTCCAGACACAATATTTCAACGAATTGGTATCCGGAGATTTTGGTGGCCATTGTGCGCTTGAAATGAAGCGAGGAACCTCATTTTGTAACCATTCTTGTGTGGGGCGCGCTGAGTGGATGGTGAGTCATGTTGGAATGTCCAAGGTCTGCGGCCAAAATATTTGCGTGCCCAAGTTTTTAATACACCCTCCAGAATATTTTCGCGATAATATTCGGCATTTATTCTGTGCCACGGTCGAAGCGCAGCAACTCTTTAGCTCTTTTGAGTCTATTTTCTTTCTTTTGCGGTGTAAGTTCTTGCACTTTTTGGAATTTCAATGGCTTTACCCCGTGCTCGTTTTTCAATATTTGCCGAATGGAATATTGCGATATGTTCAGCTTACGAGCCATTTTTCGGGCACTTCATTTCCATCATGAATAATTTTTTTTTCTAGAAAATTCTCACCAAAATGCTTTTGTACGCTTGTAAACAATACAATGAGCTGTCACTGGAATAATTCTAACAGCTGTCGGACGAGTGGCTTAGAAATGACAGCAGTTTGAAGTTGGTTGCAGTTTTTTCATCTCACCCTGTAATTATCCCACCCTTTCTGGTACCCACAAATGATTAAGAGAATTCCTTGATTTGGACTTCGAAAACATTGCCTAAAGTTCTAAAACTTGGAGGATCCGATTATTGGGGGGTTACACACAAAGATCCTTCAAAATACCAGGAGTCAATATTTACAATACCTAACGAATATGGCTACATCGACTTAGAATTCTATGCAGATAATGATTATATGTACTCTATGGGGTCTCCGACGATCCATTTTTTGTGCGAAGGGGGACGAAAAAGGAATGATAAAATCTATATGCCCTCTCTTCCAGGAGATTATAATGCCGCTGTTTTATTTATAGTCCGCAAACCAACTGCAATTTACAAATGTTCCTCTTGCCTACCCTCCTTCCCTATGTCACATTGTCATAGCAATTATTCCATCATTGTCAAATTGTAAGCCCGCAACACCCTGTATGACAAATGTGTCCACAACTAAATTAATTTTAATAGAATAATCTGTCTTGTGTACTGAGAGCAGTAAGCTATTTGTCAGCGTTTTTATGACAGTCGCAAAACGAAAGCCGGTGGAAAAAGAAGATTTTTGGAAGATTGCATGTGTTTCGTTTGATTTCGAGGAAAATGAATTCAATAAAACTTGGTCTCATAATGCCGCTTCTAATTGGCATCAGCATTAAAGGTAGGCGGTTTTAATAGCACCGAATCAATAGAGATTGTAAAGCAAAACATAAAAAAAAAACAAAATTTTCATTTCCGTCCCAGCCTGTCCCATTTACCTAACGATTGGCTTGGATGGCAAAACCTATCAGGAATCGTCGTTAACCCTTAACTGGGCCTCCGACTGTTTTGTACGTCCCGAATGGTATGGCATTTACACAGAAGAGCCCTCATCAATTCTGCTGCATCCCTATATACGTATACAGAATGTCAGTGACGGTATTCATCGCATGGCCGTCAAACGAAAAGTTGGAAAATTACGTTTCCCCCCGGGCTGGAATCGTAACGATAATCCCGAAAATGTCGAACATTATACGAAAATGAAATGTTTGGATTATTATGTGGCCAGTTTTCGTGGCAGTGAGCTTTTGAGTGTGGAATGCCTTAAAATCTATCCGAATTGGATGAGAAGTCATGAGGATATGGGACAAATGCAATTGAAAGATTTATTCATACCGGGTAAGTGGAGAAGAAATTTTATAAAATTATTTATGAGAATAATGATAGGTAGAGAAACAAGTTCGAACGCATCAATTGGGTTTGCCGGCAGCTACATGCTGTTAGTCGATTTATTTTTTGCTATAAATAATAATATAACAATAATTAATGAAACTTTCAGCAGTTTTGCAAATATCGATTATTTATTTCTCGAGACACTGGTCTTTTTAATCCCCTTTTTCCAACAAAGTGGTTAAAAACTTAATTTGAACCGGAATTATGGCTGTTTAAAGAAGATATTTTTACAAATACACTTTTTGAATACGTATTTTCAAGAAATCATTAGATAAAAATGTGAATGTTAAGAATAACCAGTCATTTTACCTAAACGGCAGGAATTAATAAATATTAGCAAGTAAAACAGCAGCTTGGTTCGTCTTCGGCACCAAAAAGTCTTCAAAATCTTTCTTTCTTTCGAGGAGAATATTTGTAAAACCATTGCTCAATAACCCACGTCCAATGTTTCTGTCCAAATAAATTCAATACCTCCATATATAAACTAAAAACTAACAATATCCAATTTCAGGAATCAAGTTACATTCCTTCACCCAATACCAAATTAAGTATCATTTAGTAACCACATCCAAGACAATCTACATCTCTCCATCCTGGACAGCAACAGTGATCCAGAATTAGTACCATTTAGTACTTTCAGAACAAGTATAATACGGATTTTCAAACAATCTCCATATCTCAATCTTAGATACCAACAGTGACCTTAATATCAAATTTCATGATTTTAGCTCTTTAATTTCCCCCATTATCAAAATGAGTACAATTATAGGACGCATTTCCAAAATCACCTCCATACCAATAGAGACCTCAATATCAAATTTCAGGATTTCAGCCCTATTCCATCAACCAATACCAAATTGAATACCATTTGGTACTTCTCGTTCAAATATAGGACGCATTTCCAAACCACCAGCATATCTCAAATGCAGATACCATCACTGATCTAAATATAAATTCTGCTCTATTCCTTCAACCAATACCAAATATAGTACCAATCAGTACATTTCGAACAATTATGGTACACATGTCCAAAACGACCCTAAAATTTGAATTCCGGACACCAATACCGAATTTAGTACTTTTCGTACAATATTTATAACCACCTCCATATCTCAATGTCAGATACTAACAAATACGTCAATTTTAAATTTCAGGATTTCAACCCTATTTCTTCAACCACTACCAATTTTAACACCATTTAGTAGTTTTCGTTCAAATATAGCACGCACATTCAAAACCACCTCCACATCTCAATTCCAGATACCAACAGAGACATTATTATGAAATTTTAGGATTTCAGCCCTATTCCTTCACCCAATGCCAAATTTAGTACCACTTAGTACTTTTTAAACAAGTATAGTACACATTTCACCTCCATATCTTAACCACAGACACCAACAGTGACATCTATATAAAATTTCCTTTCCTATCTTTTCACCCAATACCAAATCTAGTACCATTAAGTACTTTTCGTACAAATACAGGACGCAATTTCAAACCAATACCATATCTCAAATGCAGACACCTTCACTGATCTAAATATTAAATGTCTGCTCTATTCCTTCACCCATTACCAGATATAGTACCAATCAGAACATTTCGAACAATTATGGTACACATGTCCAAAACCACCCTAAAATTTGAATTCCGGACACCAACAGATATCCCAATATCAAGTTTGAGGATTCCAACCCTAACTAATACCACTTAAAGTACCATTTAGAAATTTTTGCACAAATATCGGATGCATTTCCAAACCAACGCCGAATCTCAAAAACAGATACCAACAGTGAGATGAATATCATATTTCAGAATTTTATCTCTACCATATATGGTACCATTCAGTACTTTTTGTACAATTATAGTACACATTCCCGAAAACACATCCATTTCCCAAAACACATCCATACCTTAATACCAAATTTCAGATTTCAAGCTCTATCTGTTCATCCAATACCAAATTTGACCAAATATGGTACTATTTAAGTGCACTTGTAGTGCACATTACCAAAACCACCTCCTTATAACAAATTTACGACCAACAGGACCCCAATACAAAATTCCAATTAAAAACGTTCACTCTAAACCAAACTGTTTAAAATTTAGTACTATTTGATACAGCTAGCAACTTAGTACATATTTCAGATATCAAACTACTCTCCAACCTTGATTCTCATACCGAATTTCGACCTTGTCCGTTCACATAATATTTTTAGAAGTGACCTTTCAGTGCGAATTTCAAAAAACTCTTTGGTACATATATCCTGCATTTTAATCATTCATTTTTTTTCACATGTACCATAGTGAGTACTTTTCTGGGTTTTTGTAAATTCGTACTACAGGATGTACGAATTTCCAGACTTTCCAAAAACTTAAACATGCCTACGCAAAAAGGCTGATCCTTGTGCAAAATTTCAAAAGCATAAAATCTCAAGGCCCAGCCAAAGGCCGATTACTTACAAAAGATATAAAAATGAACTACTAGCAGAAATTCACATATTTTAGAAAGGCATATAGAACTGGTATATAGAACTTTTACACCATTCTGACATTTTGAGTGTTTTTTGGTCTGTTCTAGAACTGCAAGAAAATTAAAATATTGACTACGATAATCAATTTTCGCTTTATGATATCGGAAATAAATTCAAAAATAGTAGATTCTTGCAGGTTCTGGAACAGCGCATTTTTTAGGTTTGGATACACATATATACCAACTTTCTTGTATTGCTACCACACCGCTTAGAATAAGACCATCGTATATTAAATGTTTAGGTAGGTAGTTCCATAAGCATTCAAATGATACCCATATTGTATAAATCAGTTCGAAGAACCGGTTAAACCCGGGTTTTGTATCTGAACTTTCGGGTCGAAGTAGTGGGTATTTACCCCTTGAAATAATAACTTAGTCGTAATCGAGGTAAAAATACTTATCTGTGATAAAAAATTCAAAATGATTCGAACATAGCAAGTTGCTCCATAAAATGTCGCTCTTAGCTGGACTCATAAACTCAATAAAAAAATTGAAAGCTAAAAATACCACTTACCCATTATATGTATTTCCTTCCTGCGCCTTCAAACTATCGCCTTTTCCATTCACTAAAATTATCTAATTATAACGCGCACATTCACATAATAATCAATATGACACGGAGATCAACACTCATTTTTGTTCTCCTTGTTCTCTTGCATGCATTTGCTCAATGAGAGCCATTTACAATAACAATAACTGCAACCGTGATTTGAGACAATGGGATGAAACAAGCTGTTTTTTCACATTTTTTAAACAATGTTTTCTTCGTTATTATCGAATATATTTTTGAAATTTCTTTGAATTTTAAGCATCGGTATACTGAGAAACACTATTTTTTTAAATTTATAATAATTAAGCATTGCTTAATTGCCTTTTTTCCACAACAGATTTTTACACTTCACACTGAACTAAACGGTAAGAAATTCGTGTTAGAACTAACGTAATGAGAGCAACAGAGTTGCCATTCTTTCGGAATGTTCGTTAATGGGGTTTGAAAAGTAGGGAGCATTTGTAAATGATACAAAACTAGAATTTATGAGAAAAGAAATTTATAAAGTGTAGCAGGTTTGGAGAGGGTAAAAGTGACCCTATGTCAACTGGGTGTAAATGCTGTCCAAAATCGTTTATGATTTAAAAAAAGTTATGTAAATTGAACTGGGGGCAAGCTATCCGTGATAATTTTTATACAACGGCCAAGTCAAGGTATTTCGACTTGATAATGAAAATTTTAAACAATGAATGCATGGTTGATTCAGAAAGGTATTGTCAAAAGTAAAGGTGTTTTGATTACTCTACACATGGCTACTCCTTTCTAAGTTGTAATTCAAATGATTATACCCACAGCCATATGGTTAGAGAGGGTATATATCATTTGATATTACCAAAAACGTTCCTTATCGAAATAACTGTTTTATACCCTAGGTCTCTTTGAACCAAATGCGTTTCAAGAATTTTGAAGTCGATCTAGAGATGTCCATCCGCTGTCTCTCAGCTGGTGCGCACGATAACTATGGGAGGGAGTATCCGATCCAAACTTGGTATATCGCAATATTATTATCAATCTAAGATCGTGTTCGGAGATGGGCAAAGAGGTAAATTTTTCAAAAAAAAAAAAAAAAAAAAACACAGAAAGAGAGGATAATCCGATTTTGCTCTAACTTTGCAAATCTTAATATTTGCATCAGTGCTGGCTCTGTTGAGAAAATGAACAATATCGGTCCAATCCATCAAGTACCTCCCCCAAAAAGGGGCAAAGTTTTGAATAATTATAACTCTTATAAAATGTGATGTAAGAGCCGGATTGTCTTTAAATTACACACATCACAATAATTTTATTAACCCAAGGTCTAGTGTGAGGATGGAATATTTCGGTTCACTCTTTCTAGTATCTCCCCAAAGGGTCAACATTTTCAATAACCAAAACGATCATAAAATCCGAAATAAGCATCCGATTCTCTTCATATTTTACACATTCCATTATTTCTACTACCACAAGATCTGCTGAGAAGATGAGATATATTGCTCTACTCCTCCTGATACCTCCCTCAAAATTTTAAATATCCTTGAAGTTCCTAGAACGTGAAATTAACATTCGATTCCATTCAGATTTGGCACATCTGAATATTTATATTTCTGGTAGAGATCGGACCATTTCTTCTGGTTCTTTCGCCACATAGGATTGAAAATTAAAAAAAAAACAAAACACTTAACTCTTTTCAAATTTCACACATACTCACATTTTTGGTAACACAAGTTCTGTTGTGAAGATAATATACATATATCTGCGAGACCCTTCTGATACCTCACCCACAAGGGGTCTCAATTTTCAATACTTCACATAATACATCATAACTTGCGAAATAAGTCAGCGATTCGAGTTACGATTGAAATAATTCGAATTACAAACGCAATAATTCGACTTAAAATTGTTAATTCGAGTTTTAACTAAAATAATTCGAATTATAGTTGCAATAATTCGAATTTTGTATGAACTTCATGGCAACCTTTTTTAGAGAACTTCACCTTTGAGCTTTGCCTTTGAAGCTCTCCGCCAACGTGCCTTCTGAAAAAAATCCATATCGGTTAAAAATTAATTCCCGGAAATATATTAATGTTTTGTGTTTCATAATTTTTTCGCAGGTACTCATGCCTCCGGGGCTTATCTAACAAACTATGGTGCGACCAAATCAATGCTAATAAAGGAACATGCTATATCTCAATATTTCGATATATGGTCACAACTGGTCTTTGGGATACGATATTTGGATTTAAGCGTTGGGTAAATCTATTCAAATAACATTAACCTAGTTCCATTTAATGTTTTTTTTTTTTTAATTTCCCTATAACTAGCGTTCAACGAGAAAGAGATGCAAGTGATCCCGACAAGTTTTGGATAGTCAACGAGAATATGTTCATCAATCAACTGCGTTACATTTTGAAAGATGTTCGGAAATTTGTGACCCTAACGGGGGAAATTGTCATCTTGGATTTTAGCTCATTTCCCATTGGTAAGGAAAAGTAGAAAAATTTGAAGGAGTTAAGTAATCCATGAAAATATTTTGTTAGGTTTCTATCAACGTCCCGATTTGCACATGGAGTTATTTACAATGATTTCCCGGGAATTGGGATCCTATGTTTACATGCACAATGACACCAATATTCCATGCGCTAATCTGACCATTGATGAGATTGCAACTACAAATAGGACTATTATTGTATTGTATCCCATGGATGAGTTGCAGCATCCGGCAAATGGTAAACTCTTGCAGAGGTTTGCAACAAAAGTTCGATTTTTATACCCTCCACCATACTATGGAGGGTATATTCATTTTGTCATTCCGTTTGTAACTCCTCGAAATACTCATGTCAAACCCAACAAAGTATATATATTCTTGATCAGCGTAAAATTCTAAGACGATTTAGCGATGTCCGTCTGTCTGTCCGTCTGTCTGTTGTAATCACGCTATCTATCGAACAAATTGAGATAGAAGGCTAAAATTTTGCACACATGTAAATTTTGCCAGTAGGCAGGTTAAGTTCGTAAACGGGCCATGTACGTCCAAGTTATCATATAGCCCCCATATAACGGTACCTCCCGATATTCGGTATTTTGATGATTTTAGCGACATTATTCACCGGAATTGTTTCAAATTTCGCATGTGAAGTTCGTAATGGATACTTCAGCCCATGCCAGAAAATTGTCTGTGCAGGTCCACGCCTTCGTATAGCCACCATATAACGGTACCCCCTATATTAAGTATTTTGATGATTTTAGCTACATTATAAACAGATTTTTCTTCAAGTTTCGCATTTAAATATTGTAATAACTTATGACAAAATTTGCCTATGCTGGTCTACGTCGTCGTAAAGTCATTCGGTATTTTTAAGATTTTAACAGAATTTTAAACGGATTTTATTTATTCATTTTTTTTTTTTTTTTTTTTTTTTTTTTGGAAATTGCCAAATTTTGTACCAAATGGTGGAGGGTATTAAAAGTTCGGCAGGGCCGAACTTACAGCTTTTTTACTTGTTAATTTAATTTTTGTTTGGCTTCTCAGAATCACCCATTTTATGTCAGCCATGGAAACGTTTTTCAACCGGTTTCATGAATACCTCGGAGGCTCTGGACTACATGCGTCTGCTGTTCAGCAAGAAGAAATCATCGCCCGTACAGGATGAAGGTTGGACATTTAATGCCATCAAAAGCATGGAACAATCATTGGTAACGATTAATAGAGAGCAAAAAAAAAATATACCAAACCTTTTTTAAAATAATACCATTCTTTTTTTGCAATTCTAGAATGCCGGCAAGTTGCAAACATCCAAAGAGCGCGCATTGCACATAAATTCCAAAATATCTAATTGGCTGCGTGGACCGTGGGGTAAAACGGCCAATGTGGTAACACTGGACTATTTCAGCAGCACTAATATCATCGATCTCGCGGTGAATGTTAACATACAAAAGGCATTCTTGAAATCGAACAAAAATTATATACATTTTGAAATAACTGTTTGAAAACGGGATTAAATAATAAAAATTTTATATAAATATTGTTGGAATGTAATTTAATTGTTTTTATTTAGACTACGATAAAAAAAATTATTATTACATTAAAGTTTATATTTTTAAAACAAATTCCATTTTAAGACTAGAGTTGGAATATCTTGTTCTTTATAACATATCTTGTGTTGATGGAAATATTGAGATGTACCAAGTCTGAATTGAATCGGATTTTAACTTCAGGTTTTACAAACTTCATGGATGTTTAAAATTTTGACCCTTTGTGGGGGAGGTACTAGAAGAAGTGGGCCGATATATCCCATCTTCAAAGCTGATCTTCTGTTAGTGGAAATAATGTGATGTGTGAAATATAAAAAGAACTGGATGCTTATTTCGGATTTTATAACTGTTTTGGTTATTCAGAAATTTGACCGTCTGTGAGGGAGGTACCAGAAGAAATAGTCCCATCTCTACCATCGTTATAACAGATCTTGTGTTGATAGAAATATTAAGATGTGGCAAGTGAGTGAATGGAATCATACATTAACTTCGTTTTTATGTGCTTCATGGGTATTCAAAATTTTGACCTTTGTGGAGGAGGAGTATACCGATATATCCCATCTTCACAGCATATCTTATGTAAGCATAAGTGTTTCCATATGAGCTTTTTACAAACTACACCACAAGGTGGTCAGGGTATTATGTCTTTGTGCATTTGTTTGTAACAGGCAGAAGGAAACGAGATAGACCCATAGTTCCTTTTGATGATCTGCATAGAATCACATTCTGTGTCGATTTATGCATGTCCGTCGGTCCGTCTGTCCATGTATTTCTGTAAACAAAGTACAGTTCGCATTTATTGCCCTATCCAGATGAAATTTTGCACATATTATTTGTTTAGCCCAAAGACCAACCCTATTGAAATTGGAGATAATCAATCAAAATTTAGATATAGCTCCCATATATATCTTCGTCCGATTTGCCTTTTTTTGTGCGCCAAACGTCTAATATTTGCCCAAATAGTATGTAATTTTGCACATACAACCAAATTAGGCCTGAAAATAAGTATGTCAAATTTGATCGAAATCGGTTCAGATATATATATATATTGTTCATCCGATTTGTTATTTTTGTCCTCCGCAGCCGTAATATGCATTCTGCAATCACAATATTTGGGGAAATATATCATATGCAGCTCAGAAATACCTTTGTTAAATTTTATCGAGATCGGTTCAGATTTGGATATAGCTCCCATATATAACTTCGTCCGATTTACCCTTTTTTGTGCACCAAACGTCTTATATTTGTCCAAATGGGATGAAATTTAGCACTTACGACCGAATTGAGTCTAGAAGCTAGTATGTCAAATTTGGTGAAGATCGGTTCAGATATAGCTATAGCTCCCATATATAATGTTCATCCGATTTGTTATATTTGTTACCCACAGCCGTAATATGCACTCCGTAACAACGATCAAATATCGATCAGAAAAATCTTTGCCAAATTTTATCGAGATCGGTTCCGATTTGGATATAGCTCCCATATATATCTTTATCCGATTTCAAATTAATTGTGCACCAAATGGGCAATAAAAGTACGAATATAAAAGATACAAATGGTTCGGCATATTGGGTCCTTTGAACTTTAAATTATAATTTTAATCGTAGCGTGTATGATTGAAGTCTCCCATAAAATCTTGTAATTGTTATGTGGAGCTCTACTAAATTTACAAAGTGGTGTAGGGTATCCTAAAGTCATCCCCGCCCGACTTTAAAACTTTCTTTACTGGTTTTAAAATAACTTCTGGGGAGAATATCCCAGACAAAAGACAAGGGAACTGATGTGGATAGTTGGCTCTTTCCGAAACCTAGGTATTCCCTACCTTACCCCCTGGTGAAAATTATCATCGATCTCCACTAATAAATAAACGTTATTATACCCTCAGACATATGACTACAAAGGGTATACATAATTTGATAGGGCTAAAACGTGCCTCATCGAAATAATGGTTTTAGACCCTAACTCTCTTCGGACCGAAACCGTTTCAGGACATTTGGAGTCAATCTAGCGATGTCCATCAGTCCTTCCGTCTGTCTGTCTGGCTAGCTGGTGGGCACGATAAGTCTCGAAAATAAAATTATTGTTAAACTTAGATCGAGTTCGGAGATGGGCAATATCGGTCCACTGCTTCTGGTACCTCACTCACAAAATGTCAAAATTTTCAAAGAAAATAATTTACTGCACAAACTGAGAAAGGATAATCCGAATTTGCTCCAACAACTTGCATATCCTAATATGTGTATCAGTGCTAGGTAAGGTGTGAAAATGGGCAATATCAGTCCACACCATCAAGTTTTGAATATCTATTAAGCTCATAAAACGCGAAATTAACATCCGATTCCATTTAGACTTGGTACATCTGAATATTTCCATCAACACAAGATTGGTTATAAAGATGGTAGAGATCGGACCATTTCTTCTTGTACTTCTCCCACAAAGGGTCAAAGTTTTGAATAACCAAAGCGGTTATAAAGTCCGAAATAAGCATCCGGTTCTCTTCATATTTCACACATCCTATTATTCCTACTAACACAAGATCTGCTGTGAAAATGTAAGGGTTTACTCCTTCTAACACCTTCCCCACAAAGATTACAAAGTATTTTGAATAATCATAACAGAAGTCAAAATATATTTCAGTAATCGAATATTGGCTAACTGAAACTTTATAACTTGTTTAGTTAAAAAAATTTATTGTTGGAATATTAAAATTTGATATTTCTAAAGTAAATTAAATTGTTTGCAGGGCTAAAGTTAAAACTTTTTATATTCAGGATTTTTGTCATGGCTTGGGACCTCTGTTCATTGGTGGCTTTTTGTTTTTTTTTTTTTTGAAGGAATTTCTCCAACAAAGCTCTTTGAAAACTTAGCGTTTTTATTAGGACAGGCTCTCCACGACATCTGTATTTCAGATTTGCTGCGTATCAACACAGCGTGGTGTTACAATAAGACATTAAATATTCAAATAACAAAATCATGCAGCCGATTCCTTCACAAATTTGGTGTGGGTTTCAAATATACTATTGAAATTATTATCGCAGATTTATTTCAAGCTGCCGCTTATTTAAATAAAATGTGATTAGAAAAAACTTAACTTCCATGATTAGGTAGTTCGTTGTCTTCTAACACTATAATTAACGAAAATCAGCACTTAATAAAATTAAACAAAATAACGCCTTAGTCAAGTTCAGGACTTGGTTTGTTTGGGCGCTGCAATCAAAGCCAGAGTGGTTTCTTGGCATTCAATCGATATTGGTTGCATTATCTTTGTTATTATTATTATTGTCGTTGTTTTTCTTCGTTGTTAGCTCCAAATCATCCAAATAAGGAAGTACGAAACAAGAACACAATCAGAATCAGGCAAACTGGCGACACACTCGACACAGATATCGGCCAAAGTTACAGCGAGTGGTCCGCCTTTTTTTAACGCCTAATAAAGTTCTGTCAAACCGACTGCAGTGTGTGGGTTTGTTAGTTGCCTCCATCGTTGGTTGGAAAGCCTGGCTCGTTCCATGTTTGCTTATAGCTCTGTTGGTATGTATGTATGTATGTAGTTGGATATTTGTATTTGACACATTTGTGTTGTGTCTCCGCAACGACAGAATACTTGGCTTTGTGTCTTAACCTAATCGAATAATTATGGCTCTCTGCAGCCATGCTGGTGGCCCATACACGCGTACAAATATAGGTGTGTGAGTGTATGTTTGTTAGTTAGTACCTACCATTCGATCATTATTAATTCATAAATACTGTTGTCATCGACATGTATCAATTTTAATTAAAGGAGACTTGCCAGCGACACAAACCCCCCACCCTCCCCTTTTTTGTTGTTATTGTTGGCGAGTGGTTGTTGTTTTATAATTTGACAAGCTTATTTTATAGCTTAATTTATGAGCCATAACCATATTTGGTTCCATCATAAGCAATATTTGTAATAAAAATATTATTTAAAATTTATGATTGAAAATTGGAAGGATGGAGAAGATCGCTACTGCTTTTCATTAAACACAAGTTAAACAAGTAAAAAAGCTGTAAGTTCGGCCGGGCCGAACTTTTAATACCATCCACCATTTGGTACAAATTTGACAATTTCAAAAAACAAAAAAACCGTTAAAAATTCTGTTAAAATCTTAAAAATACCGAATACCTATACGACGACGTGGACCTGCATAGGCAACTTTTGTCATAAGTTATTACAATATTTTAATGCGAAACTTGAAGAAAAATCTGTTTATAATGTAGCTAAAATCATCAAAACACCGAATATAGGCGGTACCGTTATATGGGGGCTATACGAAGACGTGGACCTGCACAGACAATTTTCTGGCATGGGCTGAAGTATCCATTACGAACTTCACATGCGAAATTTGAAACAATCCCGGTAAATAATGTCGCTAAAATCATCAAAATACCGAATATCGGGGGGTACGGTATAGGGGGCTATACGAAGACGTGGACCTACATGGCCCATTTTCTGTTTTATGCTGCAGCATCTATTACGAACTTCAAATGCCAACTTTGAAACGGTTCCGGTAAATAATGTCGCTAAAATCATCAAAATACCGAATATCGGGGGGTGCGGTATATGGGGGCTATACGAAGACATGGACCTACATGGCCCATTTTCTGTTTTATGCTGCAGTATCTATTACGAACTTCAAATACCAAATTTGGAAAGATTCTGTTAAATAATGTCGCTAACATCATAAAAATTCCGAATATCGGGGGGTACCGTTATATAGGGGCTATACGAAGACGTGGACCTACACAGATTATTTTCTGTCTTAGGCTGTAGTATCCATTACGAACTTCAAATGCCAAATTTGAAACGATTCCGGTGAATAATGTCGCTAAAATCATCCAAATACCGAATATCGGGGGGATCCGTTATATGGGGGCTATACGAAGACGTGGACCTGCACAGATAATTTTCTGTCTTAGGCTGTAGGATCCATTACGAAATTCAAATGCCAAATTTGAAACAATTCCGGTGAATAATGTCGCTAAAATCATCAAAATACCGAATATCGGGAGGTACGGTTATATGAGGGCTATATGATAACTTGGACCTACATGGCCCATTTACGAACTTAACCTACCTACTGGCAAAATATACATGTGTGCAAAATTTTAGCCTTCTATCTCAATTTCTTCGAAAGATAGCGTGATTACAACAGACAGACGGACAGACAGACAGACAGACAGACAGACAGACGGACATGGCTAAATCGTCTTAGAATTTTACGCTGATAAAGAATATATATACTTTGTTAGGTCTGACATGAGTATTTCGAGGAGTTACAAACGGGATGACAAAATTAATATACCCTCCATAGTATGGTGGAGGGTATAAAAGTATCAGTCGGTTTGCCGACAGATGTATACCCTCAGCCAATGTTCGATTATTTAAATATATATTTAGACTTCTGTTGTGATTATTCAAATTGTTGACCCTCTATGGAGTGGGATCCAATTCGCATTGGACCTAAATAGATATGATATAAATATTGAGACGTGCCAGGTTTGGACTATATTGGTTACTTTCTTCACTTTATATGAGATATGTGACATTTTTTAGAACTTGTTAAAATGTCCTTGAGGTACCAGATATTATCGACCGAAGTATTCGATTTTCATACTTCATCTAATACAGATAAAAACAGTAAAGAAAGTCTTAAAGTTGGGCGGGCCGACTTTATGATACCCTACACCACTTTGCTAATTTAGTAGAGCTCCACATAACAATTAAAAGTTTTTTTATGGGAGAATTCAATCATACACGCTATGATTATAATTATAATTTAAAATTCAAAGGACTAAATATGCCGAAGCATTTGTATGTTTTAAAATCGGGCTTATAATGTCCATATGGTGCAAAATTAAATTGAAATCAGATAAAGATATATATGGGAGCTATATTCAAATCTGAACCGATCTCGATAAAATTTGGCAAAGATATTTGTGAGCTGTATTTGATATATTTTCCTGAATATAGTTGTTACGGAGTGCATATTACGGCGGCGGTGGACAAAAATAACAGATCGGATGAACAATATATATGGGAGCTATAGCTATATCTGAACCGATTTCGATCAAATTTGGCATACATATTTTCAGGCCTAATTTGGGTGTATGTGCAAAATTCCATACAATTCGGGCTGATATTACATGTTTGGTGCACAATAAAAAGCAAATCGGATGAAGATATATATGGGAGCTATATCTAAATTTTGACCGATTATCTCCAATTTCAATAGGGTTCGTCCTTGGGTCAAACAAAGAATCTGTGCAAAATTTCAACTGGATCGGGCAATAAATGCGACCTGTACTTTGTTTACAAAAATACATGGACAGACGGACGGACGGACATGCATAAATCGATTCAGAATGTGATTCTATGCAGATCATCAAAAGGAACTATGGGTCTATCTCGTTTCCTTTTGCCTGTTACAAACAAATGCACAAAGACATAATACCCTGACCACCTTGTGGTGTAGGGTATACAGGGTTGCCTATATTCGACGGACCCATCTGGCAACGCCATAACTTTTGACAGAGATGTCACTTCGCTTAATGACATACCGCGTTTGAAGCGTCAGTCCAAGCAGATTTTTACCATGAACCAATACACGCGAGCGCTCTGAAATAGTCTCAACGTGCTTTTTTTCGACTGGTAAGACTCTTTCTAATCCGAAGAGGCCATATAAAGGTCGACCAAGGCGATCGGCCGAGAATATCGTTGCCGTACGAGCCAGTGTTGAGAGGTCCCCAAGAACATCCCAAAAACGCCGTTCTCATTCGCATTGATTTGCATTTGTTCCCGTACAAAATTCAATTGACGCAAAGAATGTTGCCTGCGGACAAGCCTCGTCGAATGGAATGGGCCCAAAGGTCCGTCGAATATGGGCAACCCTGTAAATATTGATGTGAGCAAAATTACAAGAAAATCGAACATTTCTATCCAATTTTTCAGCAAAATTCCATATTCATCACAGGTTCCTGCTTGAAAGGAACATCTAGAAATAACATGTTGTAAAGAATCGCTGACTTATTTCGCAAGTTATGACAGATACAAGTATTGAAAATTGTGACCCTTTGTGGGTGAAGTATCAGAAGAGGCTCGCAGATTTATATCATCTTCACCACAATACTTGTGTTAGCAAAAATGTTTATATGTGTAAAATTTGAAGAGATTTGGATGCTTATTGCGGTTTCTTTGAGTGCTTTGTTTTTTTTTTTTCAAAATCTTGAACCCTACGTGGGGGAGGTACCAGAAGAAATGGTCCGATCTATACCATCTTTGCCACATATCTAGTGTTTATGGAAATATTGAGATATACTAAGTCTGAATGGAATCGAATGTTAATTTCGCGTTTTATAAGATCCGTGGATATTCAAAATTTTAACCCTTTGTGGGGGAGGTATCAGAAGGAATGTTCAGATCTTCACCATATTTATAACATATCCTGTGATGACAAAAATATTGAAATGTACCAAGTCTGGATAGAATCGGATGTAAATTTCGCTTTTTATGAGCTTCATGGATATTCAAAATTTTTGGACCCTTTGTGGGGGAGGTACCAAAAGGATTGAACTGACAAACTCCCCATTAACACCAGACCTTGGGTTAATATAAATATTGGGATATGTGAAATTTGAAGACAATCAGACACTTACATCAGAAAATATGTTTTTGAGTGGACCGATATTGCCTATCTCCGAACTCGATCTAAGGTGGACAAAAATTTTACGATGTACCAAGTTTGGACCAAATCGACATCGCTAGATCAACTCCAAATGTCCTGAAACGGGTTTGTTCCAATGAGACCTAGGGTCTAAAACTGTTATTTCGACTAGGCACGTTCTGACCGTATCAAATGATATATACCCTCTCTAGCCATATGGCTGAGGGTATAAAAGTTTTTGTGTCAGAGATTTTAAAGACTTAAACATGTGTGCGTATCGTCCACTTGGTCCAGGATATGGAAAGTTATAGATTTTCTAAAGAATTACCCTCACAAGAATTACCCATCCATTTTTCTATGAAGGATTATGAAATTGTACAATACTGAGGCCTCTACAAGCCACCGCAAGCAATAAGTCATCTTTGCAGCCCGAAACCTTTTCTTAGGAATAAAACGCAACAATTTTTTTTTGTAATTCAATTTATTTCATTTCCTCATTAGTTAATTACTTTTTTAAAAAATATTATTATTGAGATGTGGCAATTTTTATTTGAAAAGGACAACAGTATGAAAATAAAGTTTGAGTATGAGATGAGATACATGGGCTGTTTTCGAAATATTTAACAATAAATGGGGAGTTGTTTGTTTCATAAACAAATAAAAAAATAATAAATGTGATCACATATAAAATATAACATTCAAGTCATGTTAAACATTTAGAAAACAGTCCTTGGGGTGCGACGTTTAAAGGTTTGAATATATCTTATTTTCTTTTGTTTAGTTCTATTACAATGGTTGGTGAAAATATAAATATGTTGGGCATTAATTTTAATTGTATTTTAAAGTAATTGCAAATGATGCTTTTATTTACAAAGGATTTATTTCCTCTATGGTTTTATACATAAATTATGGATTTCTCTTTATCCTAATGTAATTATAAGTTCTTATGGGAAAAATAAACTTATTTTCTTCTCATTCTTCTTCCTTTGTTGGTTGGTTTGTTTGCAAATTTAACGGCCAGTTAAGACTTATACCCATCATTCAGCTCATTAGCATGTTTCGCACAAATCTCAACTGGCCGTTAAACTCGTTTGTTTAGAAGAAATGTATTACAAAGGCGGGGTATTATAAAATTAGTATGTACATCATCGACGTATATCAGGAGGAAACACTTTCTTAGTTTTTTACAGCTATCTGTTATTATTCTCGGTTGTGGCTGTTGTTCCGAATTTAAGAGAAATAAACCCTCATAACATCGGCAAAAGGTTTCCGACACATTGGACATTTTGTAACAGACGAGGCGCACTTGGCACAGGCCACAACGTGGCCACAGGGTAAAAACGCTGTATTGTATTCGTTGGCATAGCAGATTTTGCACAACTTCTCCTCGGGTATTGTGGAGCTCGACCTTTTCTGTTCCAAGGCATTGACACCGGCGACAGCAGTTGTGGCGGGTGCCTGTTCGTTGGAACAAGGCTTGGGAATTGAAGCGGATGATACTTTTGTTGCAGCGGAACCGGCGACCGTTGTATGTGTTGTTTCTTGATTTCCCTCCGCCAAATGCACTGCAGGCTCCCCCTCTTCTTCCGACGAGGAGAGAGACGATTCCGACGTTGGTGTAGGAGTTCTGTTGTTGCTTGCAGCTGGTTTATTTTTCATGAATTTATTTGCCACAGCTTCAATGAATGCATCGCCTTTCATCAATTTTACAAAACGACATTTATTCATCCACAAGGCATGCTGTTCCCAGGGTTCATCATCATCGTCCCAGTCCTTAAGACCACCGCCACAACTGAAGCATTTGACACGATCGCCCACACCAGTATAGAAGAAACCGGCCTCGGCCAACTGTTCAGGTTTTTGTTTCATGTTTCGTGGCCATTCGGCAAAGGATCGTATACGGGCTGTCTCGATGGCATATTCGGGCACCTCGGGGAAAAATGTGCCTCCAGTTGTCATTGCACTGCCACCACCAGCGCTACTGCTGCCGGCCGCCATAACCACTGGTGAGCCAGGTGGTACATCGGACATTAGTGGTGCTGGGATGGTGCCTTCAGCAAATGCATTTCGTCTGATTTCAATGTCATTCGCTCCGCAAATATCATAACTGGGGGCGGGTAAGGTACGCTCTAAGAGTTCAGCATTGATGGGCACATTGTTGGTAGTGCGCCTCCTCAGCAAGGGGCAATTGGGCGACCAGCGCAGATGTTCAGGTACAGGTTGATCTTCACGTTCCCACCGGCCAATTTCCACCTCACAGAAATAGCATTTGGTTTTATCCGATTCGCCCATATAGAACATGCCCGAACGGGCCAATTCGTTGGGATCCAAGAAATTCAATGGCCAATTTTCGTACGTCTTGAGGCGTTCATCTTCACGATGGAATCTATCGTCCATGGCATAACGTGGCTTTAATTGGCCAATTTGTAGAAACTCGTTATGTGTATTATTATCCGTTTCGTCCTGATTTGGGACACTTGCTAATGCTGCTGGTGTCGGATTGGATGGTATATGTTTCAATAAATTACTTGGGAATGGTACCAACCATAGCTGTGGCTGTGAGGCCCATATTTCGGTTGCTACATTTCCAGACATTTTCATAATTGTTGATGTTATCTTGTTTATTTTCAAAATATGACGTTGTTGTTGGTGTTGTTGTTGCGTTTTTTCTTACAAGGAATTCAAACTGCAATGAAAAAGAAATAGAAAAACAGAAATCAGTAAATGAAGGATTACTTTGAAAGATAAGGAAATGCATGCTCTGTTCCACAACCTGCAAGAATCTAGGAGTTTTGAAATACGCAAAAAATCGCTTAACGTAGTATAATTTTTATATTCTTGCTGGTGCTGGGACACAGGACAGTTTTTATCTATAAGAAATATTGCAAAAAATATTAAATAAATATATCAAAGTTGTTGTGAAAACAAAGAAAAGAATAGATTTTATAGGCCTCCGACCGATAAGCTAATCACATGGCTGCAATACCAGTACAATTTGTAAACGCTCTACAGCGCAATCGATGACATGCACATTTCCTAACTCTATTTTGTAACTTCTTGAAATCGTTGAAATTTCTAAATCTAAACGTCTAAGAGAGCCGCCGTTTGAAGTTCTTTATTGAAAGAGAATCCCAGACGCTCCAGAAGGAAGCTATACTAGCAATGGATAGAAAGTGCGGTTTCAAGTATTTTCCATGGGGGGTTTGTTAGCCCGACAAGATTTAAAATCTATTTAGGAAAGATTGACAAATAGTTAGCCCTTTTCGAAAAATTTCTGATTTGGGAATGTTGGGAGGCACCGCTTTGGTAGAGCCATCTTTTAGGCAGTTCTAGTGGCATTTCAGTTGTCGGGTATGTTTATCGAATTATTGTTGACAGTTGGTCGTTAGCACCACAAAAGATTAACGTTTTGGTATTCCCGGTTGCCGTTGCAATTCAACCGTGGCTCCATAATTCTGCCAGATAAATAGCTGTTTTGAAACTTGGTCATGTCATAAATGTTATTAGTTATCTATTTAACAAAATTCTCAGAATATTGTTAATATAAATGTATACTAGACGTGTTCGTTAAATCGATTATTTTTATTGAGTAAATTTTCTCAGTAGGGAATTTGTAAACTCTCCGTAACTTGGTAATATAATTACCATTGTCAATCTCATTAATTGGACGACATTTTTGTAATGTAATTATAAAAATTCTTTACAATCTATGGGATTATCATTCACACCTACTGTAACACACACTGTGTCAATGTCATAAATTTTTTAATAATGCCACACATTATTTTTGGCAATCGAAAACAGATCAATTATTGATAAGATAGGTAGTATTTTAATTTCATTGCCGAATTTGATTGCAAAAAGGGGAAAAACAAAAACAATCGTCTCATATACCCTTAGCCATACAGCTAGAGAGGGTATATATCATATGATACGGGCAAAACGTGCCTCATCGAAATAACGGTTTTAGAACCTAGGTCTCTTTGAACCAAATCCTTCTCAGGACATTTGGAGTCGATCTGGCGAAGTCCGTCTGTCTGGCAATATCCGTGCACTCCTTCTGGTATCTCCCACATAAAAGGTCAAAATGTTCAAAGAAAATAATTTTTTTATTTTTCTCCAAGTTTGCAAAAAAAAAAAACCTCCCCGCCAAAGGGTCACAATTTTGAATAATTATAACTCTTTTATAATGTTATATAAAAATCCGATTCTCTTCAGATTACACACATCCCAATATTTCTATTAAACCAAGGTATGGTGTTATGACGGAATATATCGGTTCACTCCTTTTGGTACCTACCCCAAAAAAAGGTAAAAATTTTGAATATCCCTGAAGCTCATAAAACGCGAAATTAACACCCGATTCCATTCAGATTTGGTACATCTTAATATTTCCATCAACACAAGATATGTTATAAAGATGGTAGAGATTCCTTTTGAGACCTCCCCCCACAAAGGGTCAACGTTTTGAATAACCAAAACGATTATATAATCCGAAATAAACATTCGGTTCTCTTCATATTTCACACATCTCAATATTTTCGATAACACAAGGTCTGGTATGAAATTGGGATATATCAGTCTACTCCTTCTGGTACCTCCCCCCACAAAGGGTCAACATTTCGAGTGTCCATGAAACTCAGAAAACGCGAAAACAATATACGATTCCATTCAAATGTGGCACATCTCAATGTTTCTATCAACACAGTATATTTTACAAGGATAGCAGAGATCGGACCATTCCTTCTGGTACCTCCCCCAAATAGCGTTTAAGATTTTGAAAAACAAAACGCTCAAAGAAAGCGAAGTAAGCACCCAATTCGCTTCAAATTTCACACATCCAAACATTTTTGTTAACACAAGATCTGTTGTGAAGATATATATGACTGCGAACACCTTTTGGTACCTCATCAACGAAGGGTCACAATCAAATTGTTCGGTCTAAAACTTTTCACATATCTCATATAAAGTGAAGGAAGTCATCAATATAATGCAAACCTGGCACGTTGCAATATTTTTTTGTTATATTTATTTAGGTCCGATACGAAATGGACAGTATTGCCCCAATCCTTCGGAACCTACTACATAGAGGGTCCACAGTTTGAATAATCAAAACAGATGTCAAACTATTTTTAAATAATCGAACATTGGCTGAGGGTATACATCTTTCGGCCAAACCGACTGATACTTTTTTATTTGTTTTTATTTTTTGTTCATTTTTTTTTTTTTTTTTTGAAGAGTAAACACTTTATATTTGATAACAGTGGTGGAAAAAAAAAACTTATTCTTTTTTATTTTATAGATATTTTTTGTTTTCGAAATATAAACACTTTAATTTATTGACAGTTTTGGTCTCACAGAAAAAATGCGACATTTTCTTGGGGCAAGGGGAGAAATTTTCAGTTTTTTTTTTCGGTATTTAATGGGAAAACTGTTCTCTCTCGTTTTCGGGAAAAGTCCAAAGACTCGCGCTACAATTACAATCACGCGCACTAGAGCCAGTACTATACAAACACATAATTGTAATAATAACCACCACCGCCATCACCAACAACACCACCTCTTCGACGTACTGTTGCTGCGGCTGTATTTTGTAGATTGTTGTTCACAACAGCCATGATAAAAAAAATATATTGATTTTTTCATTTACATTTTTAACAGTTATTTTTTTAAGTTTGTTTCTTTCTTTTGTTGAGTAGAAAATTGAAGACTAAAATGTATAAAGAACATTCCATTATTTTTATACGTTACTCGAATACACTGAAGTATGGAATAACAGGCAGATACACTTTTCTTGATAAGATATCAAATTTAAAACGAAGGTTTTTATCATTTAAAGTTTGAATGCAAAAGTATTGTATAGAAAAGCTTTCCAATTACCGTTAATATAGCAGCAGTGCACACTTATTTGCAGTTAAGCATTTTTGTTTTCAAATATTATTTTCAATATATAGGTATAAATTTACAATTAATTCAATTCAATGTAAACGCATTAGCGCTGAGTAGAGAATAAATAAAATTCTAGAGACACGCGGCGTTTTAGTCTTGTTGATACCACACGATGCCGTTCACTTTTACAAATGACGAAGCCAACATTTGTTGTATGGAAAATTATATAGATCTACCACCACCAATCAAGCAAGCAGGCAGGCAAGCAGGCAGCAATGCTGGTTTTTCCTCAAGCATAAAAGGCAATCACAATTAAGAGAGCACTATGTTCTCTCTACTCTCCTGCTGAGCTCCCCCCATAACCCAGCATTTGGGTGTATTTATTTATCCATGTGTTATTTTTCATTAAGAAATCTCTAGGCTGTGTGTGGGAATAATCCAGACCTCTCTCGCACTCTCATGTCCATTTTCAAAGATAATTTCGAAAACATAAATTGGGGTTGCTGAGAGAGAGAGAGTGAGTAGAGTAAGACCTTGGCATGAGAGTTCGTATAACATTTTTGTCAATGGCGTTCTTAAAACATAAAACCCAAGGAGAGATATAATTTGTTTAGGGTAAAAACATATCCCCTTGTTTTGTGTTCGTAAACAACCCCATTAAAGAATCATAAGGTTGCCAGACCAGTGAGATTAGCAGATAATGGAATATTAATGAGACCTTATCGCTTAGTTTTGCTAATTCACAATGATTTGTACATTTTTCTTCATCAATGCCAGGGCTGCTCAAAAGTACAATTTCGCTCTCCAGTACAATTTCCCTTAGTTTTATTTGAAATCATCGAAAACCCGTATTAAGACATAATTAATAATTTTTTTGTAATTTTTTGTTTTATTCTTCATTTTGGACACCATTCCAGTTTAAAAACAATTGAAATGAATGGATAAATAGGATTTTTATTTTCTCTTAAATAATCCCCTTGTTTTGGAATCATGTGCTAACATCCGGTTTTTAGCAGTGCTGGTCTATGCTTAACAAGTTGATTAATTTTGAAAATTGGAATACTCAATTACGCCTTTATATTCTGATTAATTTGAATTTGAAAACTCTCTTAAAGTTATGTTTCATAAGCGGCGAGAACTAGAATAAAGAAATGTTCTATTACAAGAACTGCTACATATTTCGAGCCTTAAATACCAAAAATTTGAAATAATTACGCAGAATAATGTGGCAAGGATCAAAATACCGTGTGTCGGTGGCGTTATATGGAAACTACGAAGTTATATTTGGCTGGAAAATCGCAAATCGCTATCGTTAGAGCACTCCAGCATTTAAATGTGTCTCGTACCATTACCGTGATACTGACAGCGTAGGCCGACGTCAAGGAAGTGGATGGAAGAAAACAGCAACATCAGCAGAAATGGTTCGCAAAGCAAAGAAGCGACTTGAAGCGAAATCCGCGTCTCAGTTGCCGAAAAATGGCTCTTGAGCTGAACATATCGCAATATTCCATTCGGAAAATATTGAAAAATGAGCTCGGGGTAAAGCCATTGAAATTCCAAAAAGTGCAAGAACTTACACAGCAACAGAAAGAAAATAGATTCAAAAGAGCTAAAGAACTCAAGCCCCAGCTGATGGTCGCTCTCCGCTCATATTATTCGACCGTGGCATCAAAATAAATGCCGAATATTATCCCGAAAATATTCTGGAGGGTGTATTTAAGCCTTGGGCACACAAGTATATTGGCCGCAGACCTTGGACATTCCAACACCAAAAGCGACCAAAATCTCCGGATACCAATCCGTTGGAATATTGTGTCTGGAGTATTTTGGAAAGCAAGGTCGGCATTGAAAAATACCAAAGTGTCGATCATCTCAAGCAAGTGTTTCGCCGGGAATGGGCCAAAATACCGCAGAGCAACATTCGGGCAGCGTGTGACGATTTCATTGGCTATTTGAAGACAATAATTCGTGCCAAAGGGCGACCAATTCGAACGAAACTAAACTTATTCTAAAATTTGATGCTACTTCCGATATTTTTTGCTTTCATTCAATAAAAATTAAAAAAGAAAATGTAAAAATTATGGCGTTTGACTTTGTTGCAGTTTTTTATCTCAACCTGTATATTTAACATCCTTTCAATGAGGGATAGTATAAAAAGTCACAGTTTGGTGCGATTCATGGGTAAGTGGCATCACTAGATCATACTTCTTTAAATATCCTGCTAACCGTGCTGTTTCTGGCAAAGACAACACCGAAACATTTCTCAGAGGTTTAGTTTGCTTGGATAGTTTGCCCCGAAACACACAAAAAAGAAACAATGTGGCATCTTTGTTTAATCCCGTCTCATTCTCATACCACATGCACGGAGCAAGAGAGGAAATAAAAACAATATATCCCCACATATACCCCCATTGATTATAAATTAAACATGACGACCATCTGCCTTTGGCAGCTGCTACGCATTTTGTAATCTCTCTCCATCTTCAACCTCATCTCTATCTCGCTGTCTCAGTACTCTACACATCTCATTTAATACTATGGACAATTGCATGCTGAATACATACTATTTTCGAAATCCATGGTGATTGAGAGAGAGAGAGAGAGAGAAAACGGAGAACCAGTCCATCCATGTCAATGCGCACGTTTCCACTCTCATTTGGGTGATTGTGTTATGGAGAGTAACGTCATATTGTTTTTGTCTATGAGTACTATTAGCATAGTACTCACTCACTACTAATCTTTATTTAAATTTCGAAATTCTATTGTTATTATATATTTTTTGTTCGTATAGTAAAGACGTAAATGTAATTGAGATAAGGTGACTGCGGCTGGTAAAGTTAGTGAGAGAGAGAGTGTGAGAGGAGCAAGGGCCTTTGAAGGAGATGAAATGGAAAATATAAGGATGCTTCAGTGATATGCATGCGTATGTGGGTAGATAGATAATTAGGGAGAATGGAAAAGTTTGCAGAAAAATTTTAGTAGCAGACATGGAATACACACACATATATTGTTGGTTTTGTTGTTGATAACATCCAGTCTAAATTGCAGATAATATAATAAATTAATATTAAAAAGAAAAGTAAACAAATTCCACATTAAAGCTGTTTCAAGTATTTTAATTCCGTTTTTAACCATTTTTTTTAATTATTTTGTTTATACTTATATCAACAATGATTAGTCATTTCCTGTCATTTTAAGGAAATATAGTATATACGACAAATATCAGACCGACTTTCATGTGTTATGCAGGCACAACAATATTTATTTTCTATGACGTCTAAAAAAAAAAAAACAAAAAATTAAAATGTCACAATATACACAATGGCTCATTTAATTTTAATGTGAAATGTAAGCAGTTCACATACCCACTTTCAAAATAAATAATTTATGACTTAGTTGGCGACGTATGTATGTATGTAATCAGATTCGGATTGTATAACATTCCAAGAATTCAATTCTACTACTTCCTACATGTAGAACCGCAATTGCTTAGTACCATCAATTGATATGGATTTGGATTTCATCCAAACACCCAGAAGAAATGCATTACAAATCTAATGAGTGGTGTGCCCGCCCTCGGCGAACAGCCAACAATATGCGTGTGGGTTTTTCCTTTCAGTACATATTTGAATATATACATAAGGTCTTTGCAATTCATGCAACGTGTCTACTGTGGGATTTCTGGTTATAGTTTTTGTTCTCATTTGAAAATCAATTATTTGAACAAACAAAAAAAAAACTAAAATTCCAAACTTCTGCTTAATGTTGTTTTTCAACTTATGGTTCCCATAACACTAGGCGATAGGCCAGGGGAATGGGAGAGTAGGAGGTGGTGGAGGAAAAAACTGACTTAAGATTTCAATCTCCCAATCCCACTCACTTTAAGTTGGGTGAACCCGCTCGCTCGCTGTCGTTGCTGAATACCACTGCACAGCGCCACCCAATAAACGTCATTATTATTACAGACATACAAACATAGATAAAGAGGTGGTCCGTCCGTCCGTCGGTCGGTCATATTCCACAGTTTGTACTTTTCATTTAACCGACAGACTTCAGTGTACAAAGTCTACAATTGTTTTCGTTTATTGCATGCAATAGAGGAAAAATATAAATATATACAGAAATAATAACAACAACGAAAACAAAGTCATTATAGAAACAGCCAGCCACGGCTCCAATGCACATTAATGCCAATGGGCAGTGTGACAGATTGTCATATAAAATTGAAAAGCTTTAGGGAATAGAGGCCTTAAATTCCCGATGTTACCTAACAATTGGATTAAAATTCCAAAAAAATAGGCAAATCAATTGGTATTGGATGAAAAAGTAAACCATAATCGGTTAAAACTCGCAGTATTGAGTTGAAAGTAACCAAAATTCGGTTAGCCAATTTAAGCTGAAACCGGTTCTGCATTTAAAGTAAAGTAATCACTATTCGTTAGAAAGTCACATATAACCAGTATAGTTTCCAACTTAATTTCCTTATAATGGCTCTAACCAATTCTCCTAAAATAGGTAACCGGTATTCGATATATTTTAACCATTATTCAGTACAACGTATGGTGTGTTAGGTTAGAAAAATCCGATATTCACCCCAAAAATTAAGCAAAACAAACGGCATTTGATTAAAGGTAATCGGATTAAAAGTACCCTAAAGAAACGGATATTCGGTTATCATTTGTTAGAAAAAACCAGTTGTCGATTAAAAATAGTAGATATTCGATTAGAATTTCCAATACAGTGTTAAAAGTAACCGGTATTCGGTATTCGATAGGTTATCGTTATTTGGTGAAAACTATTTGTGGAGTGAATATTGGGTAGTCACTATATC